ACCAGGGGGTCGTCCATGGGACGCTTCTCACTTAGAATCGGTACAGACTGTGATACCATCTCGAAAGTACTCTCCCCACAGACGGCGCCAAAATGTTTCGGGGTTTTCTGATGTCCTGCGGGAGAGTTAAAATTCCGAGACTGGAACCGGACGCCTGTACCTGCAAAACAAACGGAGACTCCTTGTGGTAGGAGCTCCGCCTCCGACGATCAAGTTAGTACTTGTTTGAGGAGTGATAAATGCGGAAAGTAAAGGTGGGAGATCTGGTTCCTCTAGGGGAGGAGTGATCAATGTGTTTAGACTTCTCTAGGTGAGAGTCATCAATTGCTGAATCCCCTTTAATGAGGATTAATTAAGTATTTATAGTCTTGAGAAGCGTGCCCAATTTTAGGTTTAGGTTAACCAGGGCAAATTGGGCTTCTCTCGGACTTTGGGCTTTGGTGGCCATTTTCCCTTTTTGGCATATGGGAGGCCACGTGGCGTGGCCTGATTAGTCCATGTTGGACCTCTTAGGGTGACAAATGGCGGACGCTGATTGGCCCACGTGGTGGACACGTGGCAGGTCCGGATTGGTCCATTTGTCATGGGTAATTTTTACCCTAAACACTTTAAATAACAAATATAATAGAGAATCAGTAAAATAATTTTAGTTCAACAAAAATAAGTTCAAATAATTTTAATTAAGCAAAAATAAGGTGAAGAGAATATTGTTATTAATATTATTATTATTAAGCCTTTTTTTTTCCTTCTTTTTGTTACAATTTTTTTAGTTGAATTTAACTTAATTTTACCTAACATACACTTTTTTTTTAAACTATTTTTTTTTTAATATAAGTTGAAGAGAATATAATTTAAACTGGGACAAAGACAATATATATTCGCACAAAATATCATCAAAGCTACTACGAAAAGTTAAGTGTAGCAAACAAAAATAAGCAAATGGAAAATTACATTCAAACTAAGGTTAAGCTTTTGGTGCTTATGGGCTATATAATTGCCCAAATTCATGCCAATTTGACTTATGGTAATTTAACTCCATGCCAACTAGCCAAATAAAAGACACAAACATAACCCTTAACTCAACACACACGGTGTCACACTAGGTGATGACCTAGTCAGATGAATCGATCCAACCTAGTGTCATCGTCATCATCAAAATTGGGACCTCATCATTGAAAGTCTTATAATATTTGAATCTTTGATGATTCTAGGTTGTATACGTGTGTAACTTATAGTATAAGTGGGTCACTTGACTCGATTATAGCCCAAAGAAAGAGACCTTCCATATACTCCGTATAAAACATAGTTCCATATACCCCATGAAAAGCAAAGAGATCGGAAGCCAAACTAAAGTCAACGACAATAAGCAGAAATTGGAGATGGGATGGTTGTTTATTGGTAGGAAATTGCCGCAAACATTGACACGGCCGCCGACATTTTATTCTTGCAATATTTCATACGCCTAAATGTTTTCAAAATTGATCATAGAGAATAAACCTCTTAATCTCCTTCATTACATATGTAATATTTGGACTTTTTTACTTATGATTTGATACAATACAACTACTTAATTAATACTTGAATACAAAGGTAAGCAAGGAAAAGAAATAAATTTTAAAAAAACAAAGTGGTAAGCTAAGAAACAAAATTGGCTAATTTGCTAAGTTTCATCATTTTAAGCATGAACTTTGTAGCCGATTTCCATGACTAGAACTCTTCGAAATGGAAGGGTCTTCCACCTTTGTAACTTCACCTCGTACCCTTCACGTTAAAGAAATGTGTAGAAGACTAGAAGCTAGGTATGGTCTTGCTAAAAGTACTCCTTGAAATAATCGATATTATACTTGTTTCATTATTTTTTTGTGACAAGTTTCTTTAAATCTTTTATCATGTTTGACAACGCATAAGTTCAGCCATTAATATCTCTAATTATTATAAAATTATAACAACTTTATATGAAAACATACATTGAAATGACTAATAATTTCAATATGTGCAATAAACTAACAAAGACTCTCCATAATAGTTGGTAAAGCCAATAAGACCATTTGTGCTACAGCTTCAAAACAAACAAAACAACAATGGTTTGGCCGTGCAAGAGCAAGAGCAACGGTATGGCCATGCCCGTGCAAGCAAGAGCAAGAGCATCACAATGAAAGACAAGAGGCAATGCAAGGCAACTAGGCAAGTTAAGTCGAGTCAAGACAGATGAATTTAAGGCATGATTATTAGGGGTGAAACCAACAACCGTACAAAGTTATGAGCCAAGCTAAGGCATATATTAGATGGTTTCGGATACTAAATAGATTCCCCTTGGCACAGTCCTTAGGTAACTTTTGGGAAACATTTCAATGCCTGACCTTTACGGGTCTTAAACTGTATTTTTTAAGATTTCGAGACCTAATGACGAATACTCAAGTGCCACTTGGGGATGTAACCCAAAATCTTAAAATGACGTTTGAAACCAAATATGCCCACTAGTCGATCGGCATAAAGATCAGGGTGGTCTTCTGGATAGGTTATTTATATATATTTTCTCTATTTCTTTTTACTTGTAAGGAAATACCTTATATTCTTATTAAATAATTAAAGAAGATAAATGAATTGAACAAGTAAATAAATAATAATAATAAAAAAAAACCTTAATTATAACCAAACCACCCTTCGTTGATTAATTAAGCTTTCTTGATAAAGTTGTGCATTTCCCTTATACCCTTTTCTCTTTATTTTATTTTATTGAACTGAGATTATTTTTACTGAATTGCATTTATTTTTGCTGAACTTAAATTTGTTTTATTGAATTGAATTAATTTTTTTGAAAGACAATTGAATTAATTAAATTGATGTGAAATCATTTTTACTTATTCCCTATTATAATTCTTCTTTACAGTTTTATTACTGAAATGAACTTATTTTTATTAAATTAAACTTAACTTATGTTTACTGAACCGAAATTATTTTTATTGAATATTATTTTTTTTAAAATAAAGAGAATAAAGCCTTATTTTGACTATGTTAACTTTAATCAAGTTAAGCTTACTGTTCTGTTATACTTAGATAAGAATATAAGATGTAATCCTAAAGAACTTGATATTAATTTGATGACCCGCTAAAATAATTGAATTGGACGTCTCATATAGGACAATACATTCTGACGTTGTCACTAGGCAACCAATTAGACTAAACTATATCAATATGGGGTCAGTCAACTCTATACATTCAATTCACTTAGAATTTGCATGTTTGCACCAACTAAAACACTTGGATATTGTAGGTAATGGACGAATACTTAAATTCAAAATTTAGGTTTGACCATATTCTTTTCGGATCAAATAAAGGCGGGGCTACAAATGTTAATAATGAAAATGATCCGTTGTAATTTTGTTAAATTGACTCGAAAATTATTTTTTTAAGGAAAAATATTTTACTAAATTATTAACTTTATGATAAAATTGAAAAATAAATTATTGATTAACAAGTTTTCTCTTTACTTTATATAAGTCAATTTTAAAAATTTGGGCCCTTTTATAATAGTTTCACTTAGAGGTCATGTACGATCGACCACCCTGCACATGCTCAGAACCACCCTGAGATCAAAATTTTCAATTAGGAAAAAGTTAATTAAACAAACGTTATTCATGCAGCAAGTAGTCGTGGAAGCTATGATAACACTAGTATAACATAACCTATTTATCTTCTATCAAACTTCACTAGGGTCTCTTTTAAGATTGAATGATGGTTTTTTTAGCCATACATCTTCCCCTCTCCCCTGTAAAATCAAGTATACTAATTTTGGATTGGCTTGAAAGTCTCTTCCAATTTTCACTAATGCTCTCGCTACCGAGATTCGTAATAAATAATTAAGTTCATTTAAAGCATTCACCTTTGCACTTAATTTAGCATATCCTTTAACATTACAAATGTCTAGTATATATACACTTATTGATTTTAATTTTTTATTTTTTTTATTTACAATGATTTTATGGCTATTCTCTAGTAATTTTCGTATAGATGCTAAATGTTACAAATACTAATTTTTGTACCACTATACTGGTTTAATGTAACGGACTATTATTTTGCCCGTTACATATAGGTTTATTGTAACTGGCAAATTATTGCCCATTACAAATAACATTTTTTCCACTAGTGGTACCTATACTTACTTTATAATATATTTAAAACGGAGGAAGTATTAAGCTTCTTAAAGGAAGTTAGAGTACGTACGTTCATTGAAGGGAATAAAGGACCCACGACTATATAGTTTGTGTCTACCTTTCCGATTTTAGTAGTGCCCACTACTTTTTAAACTATGTTCCTTTCTAAGTTCTAGACAAAGTATTTCTTATTAACTTTACTAAATACATGGTAATATACTTTGCTTAAATTACTAGTTGAACGCAGAAAGCCGCCAACTAACTTTTTACATAAAAATAGTACTTCTAAGCTTACTTTTGGTAACAAAGTAAAGCAAACTATGTCATTTTGTTTCTTAATTAATTTATGCTTTTGATTGAATACGTCCAAATTAAGTTTACTTGGTTCTTTTTACATAGTACTTCTACATTTAGATGCTTAACTTTTTCAATTTTTGCTCGTGTAACAATTTAAATCATTGCATGTGGATCCCTTATACATAAACTTTTGGTTATTAGCCGTGTTGTTTCCAAATTTATATGTAGATTGATGATTACAAATACTAATGACGAAAAAACAAGTTTTAAACACTATGGATCGCGATTGCTATTATTATATACCATTTTCAAAAACATTAGTAGCTAATTTTTGTTTAGTTTTTGGAACTTTTCTTTCAAAATCCAAGTTTACATCACAAATCCCTATTTTATATGTTCTTAAACAGAGATACAATTATATATGCAAAGTACTATTTATCGGATTGTAAATGTATTTCCTATATCTAGTACATATTGCAATTAGTTAAAGTAGATGATGAGAAGAAAATATAAATTGCACAATTTTTCATAAGACAATGTGACAATTGATTCCGAATGGAGGGATCAACTTCGTTCTCCAATATATGATCAACTTCCATTTGACAATCAAGAAAAACAAACTTTGCTATATACTTATAAGATACAAGCATAATACAAGAAAAGAAAGCATTTTAACAAGAAATAAAGTTGCACTCTACTTGCTTAAGAGACGTGCATAATGGTGATCACTATTCACTTTAGTGATGAACTTGAAAAAAACATGTGTTCATGTTCTTGTAAATCTTCAGGATTGAGGGTTTCCATCTTAATAGACGAGTAAGAGGGATGAGAAGCAAAGCTATGATCCTCTCCATAAGAAACCGATGATTCGGATACATTATAACTAGGAGTTGCCTCATATTGTTGAGAAGTATAATGAAAGTTTGGATGTTGTGCAAATGTTGATGCTTGATTATCCCCATGAGGAGGAAAAGCCGACGAAGCCATCATATAGTTGTGATTAGATGCTTGATGATGATTAGGAAATGGATAGTTAGCTACTTGATTAACAAACATTTGGTGGTTTTGTTGTTGTGGTGGTGGTGGTTGTTGAAGAGCCGAAGAGGATGGCATGTAGAAATCCAAGTCACTTAACTTGCCTTGAACTCTTTCAGGGAAGTTTAACTTAGCCTTGTTTCCTTTGAACTTAAGAGCAGCTTCATCATAGGCAAGAGCCGCAGCTTCAGCTGTGTCGAATGTTCCAAGCCACACGCGTGCTGCTTTCTTTGGATCGCGTATCTCTGCTGCCCATTTCCCCCATGGTCTTTGTCTAACTCCTCTATAGTGTCTTTTCCTCACATCACCTTCATACATCAAGACATATCGAAACTTTACGTAAGAAAATGCATGGTTATAGCTATTTATATAGCAAACCTATCAAAATAATGTATGGAATCATATGATTTCAAGGTGCATTTTTATTTGAAATATGTTAGAAAAACCATTCATAGAAGAACCAATCAAGTATGAAGTATCTAAGACATACATGTGAGATTTGTTTATATTTAGGGGCAATGGACTGATGATAATTTGTCCAATTACACGCGCGCACACACACACAACTTATTACACCATGCACTGATGCACAAGTAGCTAGCAGTAGATTGTGATCTAGTACAAGACATGCACATTTCTGCTTCCAAGTTCAATGAAACATACTCCAATATCCTAGCTTATCATCACAATAAAATGCAATTTTTGTAAATAGATTATAGTAAACAAAGACGAAAAAAGTGAAAGATAAATCAATCTAATTAAAACGGCAAACTAGGGCTATAATCAAGGGCACAATAATAGATGGACTTTCTTATTAATAATATGAAAACGTAAAAGGGGCAAGTATAATGCACTCATCTTTAAAAAACTATAACCAAAAATAATTTTCTTTCGGAAATATCATAAAACATACTACTGATAATCATTAGGTACCTAGGTGCATGCATCACTGCATTGTACACTACACTAGTACACTCCTTAATAAGATAGATTTGTTAGTTTATACAAATCTTTATTGCAAGAAAAGAGTATATATGATGCTTCAAGAAAAACCTAAAAACACAGTATATGTTTATATAATATGGAGTAGAACGCTATGGTAAAACAAAAAAAGATAAATGAATTATACATATGTACATCGGGAAGTTTTAAGGTTACACAGAGCATTTAATTTGCATATAATTCTTCTGTAACGAAAGGGCCACACTATCAACTCCAACACACACACATACACAAAAATACATCACCAAATCACCAAAATACATGAATATAAACATATTAAATAGCTTAAATTCTAAGTGTGAACAATTTGACTAGATAGATAAATTGAAGGATAACAAGTTTATTTATAACACGGATCTTTGAATGTGAATATATAGCCGCACGCAGATTTTGTTGAAACTAAAATTGTATGTAATGCCCTACATACATACGTAGGTCCAATGCCAACAACGGAACATATATATGTATATTATATAGTTTGCTTCCTTAAAAATTAGATGTATAATTTGATAGTCCAATTCTAGCAATTAGTTTTAAGCACATGATAAACATGGTAATTAAGAGAGCTAGTTCTCATTAACCAAACAACCAATTATTTAATCAACTTGAGGGCAACACCAAACATCATAATATAACACATGATAAATGTGTCGAAAACATGGTAATTAAGGTAATAATAATCAAGAAATAAAAAATTACTTTGCTCTAATTAATTACCTTGATTAGCTTCAAGGGGCTGAAAATTTATATTTTGTGGTTGGTTAGCATGAAAAATTTGAGTAGGAATAGCAAGATCTCGATGAGCTTGAGAGGCGGTACTATTATTATTGCTAATGACTTGAGAAAGGGCTTGAACCATGGCAGACATGTCATGCTGAGACCGAGCCGAGTACACCGGGAAGTTAACAAGACTACCATCATCAACACCATGACTACCACCTTGACCGTGGTGGTGTTGGTAATAATCGTAGTTATTGGTTTCAATTTTATTGTAATTTTCATTGTTGTCGTCGGATGCCATAAGAGGCCTCTTTCCTTGCCTTGGACGATCCACCTTGATCGAATAACTTTGGGATGACGGCTATGAATGGAATGGTGTATGTAAATATTGATAATTGAAGTAAAGTGTGATGAATAGATGATAGAATTGAAGGATTAAGTAGTAGAATAAAGAAGTGAGGATCTAAGAATTGAAGATTGTTTAGGGTTTTTTTATTAAGCATGATATGAAGAAATTTTGACTAGGGTGTGAACATTTTCTAGATACACAGATTAGTCTTTAAAGTGACAGTGAGACAGTCAGCCTTTAAGACTTTCTTGTCCACTATTTTTTTTGGTTTGCATGAGTTAGGACTTAGAACCCTTTTATACCACCCCCAAAAAAAAAAAAAAAAAAAAAAAAATTCCATTTTCTTTAACTTTACTCAAACTCTATTTTATGAATATTTTTTTTTTGTGTTTTTGAAAAGTTGGTAAATTTAATATTGTACTACCTTCGTTAAGTAAACGTTGCAACTTTGGGATATTATTTGTAAGATATAAAATATTCTAAAATTATAACTAATATTTAACGGAGATAATATATGCTCTCAGATTATTGTCGTTTAGGCTTGGACACGTATATTAAGAAGAGGGAATAGGGTAGTGAAGGTTTTATAGTAGATAGTGATCTATTTGATGAATAAGAACAGAAAATTTGATTACGGTACACAAAGTTAGTAGAGAGTCAGGTCTCAAATCACATGAAACATAAAGAAAGAGAGAGTACTGAAATTGAGATAATAGTGGTAAGAGTACACATTACATAGATGGATGAGGTAGGTGAGTTGAATTTTTCATTTAAGATACATATAAAATTAATCGAGGACTTATCTGAATAGTATACAAAACAATTATAGACAATTATTTGAAGATGAAGGAAGTGTGAATTGTAGTTTTGAAGTACAAACTCTTAGGAAAGACAATCCAAACATTAAATTAAAATCATTAATCATGTACCCTTCCCCCAAATCAGTTTTACATATTGTAATTCCTACTTTGATTAATTTTGTCTTAAAAAATTATTTTTTCTTTAATTAAGAATGAATAACAATATGAAAGAAAGGGAGTATATTAAAAAAAAAAAAAAAAATGTCACTAAGTCAATTTGTAACAAACATAAACAAAATCATTCAAAGCTAAATAGTTTCAGAAAATGATTCAAAGTTTGAGAAATAAAGATAAAATATTCTTAGATCGTTTGACACATGTTAGAATTCCAAGCATTGTAACATACGGAGTACATGCTGCAAATTGAGTATGAATCATGTAACATTGTAGTTGTAATTGGTTAACCAATGCTTTTTTTTGTTTTTTTTTTTTTGACAAGAGTTAACCAATGCTAAATGTCTAATATTACTACTTATTTTATATTTGTCTTATTACATACAGTATGATGGAAAATGAAGCAAAATGTACTTTTTTTTTTTTTACGGGGCAAAATGTACATATTTTTTTTAACATTACTTCATTACCGTTATAAGTAACAATTTTTTTTTTTTTTTTTTTTTGAGGAATCCCATTTCCATTTCATAGTGAAATTATGAAAAGTTGATGTTAATAATGATAACATTTCAGGACGAATCTAATAAGATCACACAAAACTATATTTTCCAACATAAACTTATAAAAGATGATCAAAGGAAAATGTGTGAACTCCATTAGTATAAAATTATTCCAAACGTTATGATTTTAAAAACCAAAACGAGAAAGTAAAAGTATAAAATATATTGCATCACAAAAAAAACGGAGTATAACTTAAACTTCTAATGAGAATAGTTAATTAGGTCTCGTTTGGTTGAATGTGGGAAATGTAAATTCATTGGAAATGTACATTCCCATGTAATTGGAATTCTTAGGAAATGCTAAATTGTGTTTGCTTAACCACGGGAAGTGAAAATTCTTATGGGAAATTCCACTTATTTTTCCCTAGGTAATTAAATACCTCCATTTTGTGGGAAGTGAAAATTTATGGGAATTTCTACTTTCCATGATTTTGTCAATCAAACAACTCCAAAGAATTTCAATTCCTTGGAATTTCAACTTCCCATGTTTTTATTTGTCAACCAAACAAGACCCCTTCGTATACATCTTGAAACTCAGCACTTCTTCATCACAGTTTGATTAGCGGTAGTTGGGCTTTGAACACGCATTAAGTTGACAATTATTGTTTGTTTTAATACTTCGTGTACATTATATTCATACGTGAAGGTGAATATGGCAGCATACTTAATAAATTACTTATTGACCAAGTGAGGACATTAACATAGGGTTATTTATTAATTCTAATTTTTATATTCAATCCTTGTGTGCATCAGGTGGTACAACATTTGTCATGTCTGTATCTAATTTTCCACAAGTTATTCTTTTTGTTGTTGATTAATGTATCATTGCTTTGGTTATTTTTTTTACCAACTCAATTAATAGTAATTTGTATATCCCGTTTTAAAAACCTATTTCATAATATATAACTGTATGTATATCCAATGCATGTGAAATAAATTGCTCTTAATGTATGTACTGGTAGTGATCAAGAGCTATAAAAGACATGTAGATGAGATATTACTCCTAATACTTTAACCAATTAATATAATCGACATTCATACAATAATAAGTTGTTACTTATATTACGTACATGTATTGCTAATCTGATTGCAGGATATTGTGGAGTGCAATCAGATAGACAAAACCGTGTTATTATAATTAGTTGCTCTTGGGAAAAGTATATTACGGAGTATTTTGCAATAATTATCAAAAAAAAAAAAAGAAAAAAAAAAGGGAAAGTATGGCCTACCCATAGAGTACATAATTAAATAGCTAGCTCAGCCAATTAAGTACCAGAGACTTGGTAGGAGTAAGATAGGACATTCTAATTGTTTGGGTCCAATTTAGTCCAATTGGGCTTAGACATTAAATGATCCAATTAAAAGCCCAAGGTCAAGGTTCATCTCTCCAATTGTGCTAAAGTCAAAGATCAGTCCTCAAGGTTAGCCAATTGGGCTAAGGCCCAACTTCTCCATGTATGCAGAGGTATAAAAGCCATCAATATTACATTTGTACATTCATTCAAGCAAAGCCTCAAGCAACTAATTCTCTTGCATAGTGTTCTCTTTCTACGCACTGTAATGACTTTAGCATCGGAGGGGCCTTCCTCGGCAACACCCCCGAGGCTAGTTTACGTGTGTTTACTGTGCAGGAAACCTTCGGCCCAACATTACTTGGATCGAATCTAGTCTTCTCCACTTCATCGGACCTTCGACAAGGTCCCATTGTTTTCACCCGAAACAATTTGGCGCCGTCTGTGGGGAGGACTTTCAAAAATCTTTAAGCCAAATTTCTAACCAAGATCATCTTGCAATTATCTTAGTAGCAATGGCTAAGAACCGCAAGAGCAAAGGCCTCCGTCAAGGAGCGGGCGAAAAGCCTAAAACCCCTACACCATCACCCTCGCCGGACCGGAACTCTCCCAAGGGTGCCAGCTCGGGGGGAGGATCATACAGGGAGGATTCCCTTTCTCCCGTAATTCATAACTCTCATCATAGGCCGAGTCACTCTCGGTCTAGCAGGGGTGAGTCTGATCATAGGACACATGCAGTGCCCCAAAGCCAACCATCGACTGTGCGCCCTCATTCCCATACTCGGCTGAGGACCCCTTTGACGGGGCCCAGCTCGGAGGAGGTGGCAAGAGCGCTGGCAGTGCTCATGGAGGCAATGAGGGCACAAAATATGCCACCACCTCGTGATCGAACTCCTCCGTATACCCGGCATCAACGGAGGAAGCTAGACCATGATGGTGGGAAGCTTCCTTCCTTCCGGGAACTGGAAGAGTGGGAAGAGGATACCTGGAAAAATGAAAAAGAGAGGAAAAATAACCCTCAATTTTTCAAAGGATCCTTATCCTCCCGACTTGAAACGCATAAGAGCAGCAACTCAGCTTCTCGGCCAGAATCCACTCACCGAGAACAACCTGAGACTGTTCGCCGAAGCGTCCTCGACCGACTCGGCGGCAAGGAACCGAGCGTGCACAGTCGCCTCTCGTTCCCTGCGGCCGAGGCCCAAACTTCCCAGCCAGGGACGAAAACCACTCCTACCACTCTAAGAGGGCGGAGCGCGGTCCCTTCGGCCAGGAACAAGGGCAAGGCCGTTATGCTACCCGCCAGTTCGCCATTCGAGCAATGGATACTGGAAGAGCACGTGCCCACGGTTAAAATACCGTCGCACATCACATATGACGGGACCTCGGATCCGAAGGATCACGTGGCCTCGTATGAGACTCATATGCATCTTTGCCCCAGATCCAAAGCGAATTGGTGCAAATATTTCCCAACCACTCTCAAGGGGGTCGCGCAAGCGTGGATCTCCAAGGGAGTAAAGCAAGGCTCCATAACAGGGTGGGATGATCTGTCCTCCAAGTTTAGGAGCAAGTTTTCCACGGCAAACCGCCGAGAGAAGACTACTGCAGAACTCATGAGTCTGCAACAGGGGGAAACCGAAAGCCTCCGAGACTATCTGACCCGTTTCAGTAACGAGTCATCCAGCGTCTCTCAGCTGGACCAGGGGCTAGCCGTTTTTGCAATGCAGAATGGCCTTCAGTCCGGGAAGTTCCTAGACTTCATGGTCATGCATACCCCGCAGACCTTGGAGGAAGCTTTGAATGCCTCGGATAAGTTCATCCGAGCCGAAGAATGGAACAAAGCGAAAACCCAACCTCAATTTGGGGGAGGGAAACAAAGACAAATACCCTTGTCTGAAGGCCAAGGCCATAAGGCAAAGGGAAAGTCAAAGGCCTCGGAGCAATCTTCTGCCAGCGACCCAAAGAAGGAAAAATCTGCCTCATACACAGGCAGATACGAGTCCTACACTCCGCTCTCTCTTCCACGCGCCAAAATTTAAAGCGTGACGAAGGAGGAGCAGAGTTACCGAAAGCCGAGACCACTCCCAGAGTGGTATCAGCGAAAAAATAAAAATCAGTGGTGCGAGTTCCACGAGTCTGCGGGACACAACACTGAGGAGTGTATCCAACTGAAGGACCAGATAGAGGACATGGTCCGGAAGGGATACTTGAAAAAATACATCGCGGATAACCGCGAGAAAAAAGAGTCCGAGAAGTCAGCAAAGGACTCTCGGCAAGACCTCGACTTCCCCCGGAAGAACAGTAAAAAACCGGAGGGGAAATTCTCTCCGATCAATGTTATCTCGGGAGGAATATGCTCTCGGAGGGAGCACAAGCGACACCTTAGGGCTTTGACTCACCAGGTGAACAACGCTGACATTCAGTCTCCCCAATCGCCGGTGCTAAACATGACGTTCACAGCCGCCGACTGCCGGGGGATAACGTTCCCTCACGAGGATCCGTTGGTGATCATCGCCACGGTGGCCAACCACGACGTCAGTAAGGTCCTTGTTGACGGTGGCAGCGGAGCAAACATTCTGTTCCGAAAGGCCTACAATCAA